GTTTAAAGGGTTGTCTGAAGCTCAGCGGAGCTGCACATCCAAAGAATGCGGCAGTGTCACCTGAGAAACCCAAATTGTGGACGAAGAAACAGAAGCCGACTTGCCCAGACCACACTGGGGCAGGAAGGTGGGTTTCACGAAGACTTTGAGTCCGGTGTCCTCTGTTAACCCCAGAGATCTCCAAAAGCCAGTTCCACACTGTGTGGGCCAGGTGCCAGTGTTTTATGGGCCAGTAGCCAGACCCTGACGGAGTTTCACCTCCTCAAAGGTGGTAAGTGCCAAGACCAGGGACTAGGGACCACTCCGGATAAATCACCTACCATCCCCACTCTGGTAGCTCTGGTTAGTGTAGTGGTTACAAATTGGGCTGCTAACTGCACGGTCAGCAGTTTGAAACTCCCAGCTGTTCCGCGGGAGAAAGATGAGGCTTCTGCTTCCGGAATGATTTACAGGCTCGGAAACCCTGTACAGGTTCGCTATGAGTTGGAACCGACTCCACGGCACATAACCACCACCACCCCACTTACGTCCTGCCAGAACTGCCAACCGACTCATAACAAGAATCTTCAGGACATTGTGATTGGACTGAGTTCATTTCAGCAAAACAAACTCTTTATTTTCCCGTTTGGGTCTTTTTCAGTCCTTGGGACGAGGGCAGGTGAGACAAGTCTATGCATCCCAACGTCTGCTGGGCTGGTGGCCTGGCTAAGCCATGTAGTGTCCAGATGGTTCCATTTTATGTATCAGACCAAGTTCCAGTTTGTGGTTTACTCAACATCACCAACAACAAGGTACAGCAGTTCCCAGACCCAACTGGATTGTTTTCCACTTGGGCAGGGACTCCGTCATTGGATACCGGCCTTAGATGGTCAGGGTGCACCGGCTCCTTCTCATCTCAACCTGAGATGCTAAAAACTGGGAGTGCTCTGGGAGTATAGTGCTGGGGTGCTAACCACAGGTCAGCAGTTCGTATCTACCAGTCGCTCCTTGGGAGAAAGATGAGGCTTTCTGCTTCTGTAAAGATTTAGGCTTGGAAATCCTAGGAAGGGTCCCTATGAATTGGATCTGACTCGATGGCATTTAGCACACAGAGGAAGGCCAGCCATTTGGCACTGTGGAATTGACCTTTGGTGATCATCTTCTGATAAGTAACTCTATAAATAAACTAGAATCTTAACCGTTTTTAAGAAATTGCTCTTTCAATAGATTTTTTAAAAATGCGTTTATAAACTAGCACACTTTTTAGACAAAGTCCATGTTATTTTTGTTATCCTGTTTCCTGTAACTGATTTAATGCCGGGTTCTAAATGACTTTCAGTTTGGATTCAAACAAAAGGATCTTGAAGGCACCTCAATCTCATGCTAAACACAAGGCAAAATTCTGATGTAAACTTTTTAAGTACCAAACACTGACAATGCCTTATTTTCCCTTATCTGCCTTGATGGAGTCAGAAAAAGAATTCACAGCAAATGCTGCAAATATCCATCCAAAATGGTGATTATCGCATCATTATATTTGCTATTTTACTTGTCATGTACCATTAGAAGGTAACAAGATCATTGTCAGCCAGAGATTGTGAAGATAATTAGAGCATCTATAGCTTAGCGGGAAATCAAATTGGTGTTGGTACCCATCAACGCTGAGGAGCTGAATGTAATCAGAGGGAAAATATGCAAAGGTTTGGATGAAGAAAGCCCCAGGGATGCAATACCGTGATTGATGTTAGACTGCTCCGGTTTCTGACAATGAAGATGGTGAGAGGACAGAGACGCATGGACAACACAAAGCAGTGAGGTACACTGCCAGAAACAGCCACTCATGGTGAAGGTCTAGAAGGTTCCAAAAACACAAAGTCACTTGGACTTGGAAAAACAGTGTTTAGACTATTTTCCAACCTAGTCATTTTCCCTCCAGTCTGGGAGTCAAATTGACAGAAAAACAGCTGCCTCATGTGGGGCCAATTCTTCCCCTCGTCCACCAATTAGCATTTTAGTCTTGCAGCCCATTGCCCCTGAGCCAAGAGACCCTTTTTTTCCTAAGAGGCCCTGAGCTTCACACAAATCCTATATGGAAGTCACAGTACTACCACCCCAAATGCACAGTCCCCAAATTCTGCCTACTTCCATTTCTAATTCCCACTTGGCAGACACTCCATCCTGCTAATGTGATCTTTTTTTCCCAGTAAGATACGGCTATCAACCCAGACCACCTCATCCAAACAGCCATTTCATGGGGCCAGCACAGGAAAATAAAGTTGTTGCACTTTGAAAAACAAAACCTATTTTGAAGGAGTTCTGGCAGTGTTAGTGGTTACGAATAGGGCTGTGAACCGCAAGGTCAGCAGTTCGAAACTACCAGCTGCTCCCATAAAGATTTATAGCCTTGGAAACCCTGTGCAGGGTTGCTATGGGTCGGAACCGATTCAACAGCACTTAACATTTTGAAGGATGTGGAGATACTTTCAGACTGACAAGGGACTGACCATATAACTCCAGGAAGACAGAGAAAAAAGTAGAGACAGGAAGACAGATGCCTGGGAGGTCTGAAGCAACACACCAATGCACAGACCGAAATGCAAAGGAAAAGGCAAAGACCATAGTGAGGTCTGGGGTAAGAGCTCTCATCACTGCAGACAAAGCTGAAGACCCAGTCCTGGCCTACTGGTACATTCCTTCTAAAACACCCAGAAATACCTTTTCCATGGCTTTTACAGCATTTGTTTTCCAACAAATGAAACCTTCTCTACAACGGATGTGGATACAACAGTTTTTAGAACATCACCAGCAGACTGTGGAGCTGGGTGCGTGGGATGGCCAGCTACTATAGGTCAGCCTTTGATCTCCCACGGACAGACTTCCGGGAGTTTCTTTTTACCAGTGTTGCTTCTATCCTAAGGGTAATGATGGTGACCCACAGAAACAAGCAGCTGGAAGCTTAGTTCACATTTTTTAATAACATGGCACACTTTACATTACACAAGGAGTCTCTGCCGATGAAAACATGCTGAAAATTCAGTCTGTGCACTTTTCTTTTCACATAAGATCTAGAAAGGACTTTATTACATACAGGATCAACAGCAAAAGGTCTGTATAGAACAATCTCTTTACAATACTGAAAACTACCACTAAAGTTCCAGTGTACATATTCCTTGGAGATTTTGTTTTTTTTTTTTTGTTTTTTTAATTTTATTTTAAAGTTGTTGTCTTAGGAAAACCAAACCAAACCAAATCAAAACCCAACCAAAAAAAAAACTAAAAGAAAAAATAAAACAAAAAAAACAAAATGAAAACCCCAAAACACTGCACAACATCTGGAGTTCACAAAATCTGAAGGTCTCAACTAAACCTCCAGTTAACTACTAAAATAGATCTCTCTGCTTATTAGAAACAATGGTCTGTAGTTAACTTTTTTTTGGTTGGTTTTTTTCTTTTTTCTTTTTTTTGCAAAAACAGGATAACAACGTCAGATAGTACTTTAATATACTAGAAGACCAAATGGAACTAATTTTTATTTCATACATATATTTTACAGTCCAGTAGACAAGATATATTGTATTTTCTCTGCTAGTAAAGTCATATTCTCTCCAAATTATGTAGACAAGAGGCTTAATGTATTATAAAAGTAGTATGAAGAGACGCTGAGTTGAGGCAAACTGAAAAACACACGCACACACTGGACTTTTCTGCCACCTTTCTTTTTTTTCACCCTCTCTTGTAACTCTCCAAGGCTACACGAGGTCTGACCCCCACACTTTCTTACCAACTGAAATACGATGAGTTGCAGGAATAGGTATGCGCCTGAAACTCACTCGCTTTCGGGTACCGTGAAAACATATCCATCATCTGAGAAAACCTGAAGAGCTTCCTTTCAGGATCTGTTTGGGTGTAACTGACTTGGCGTTGCCAAACAAGGAAGTGTGTACAGATATGAAAGAGAACACACTGAACAAAGCGGGTTCCCGCACTATGTGTGTGTGACATCCCGTGACCCGTGGGGACTGGCTCCTGGCAACCTGTCTTGGGTCTGACAGGCGCCGTCACCCACCCCAGATGTTGGCATCTTGACAACTGTCATCCTCCCTGGCCTGACTGCTTATTTCCTCAGTTACCTTTTTAGGGGGCTGCATCTGGCCCCTCCTACTGGGGAGCAATTTCAGATGCAATCCCATAGGGGGAGCAATTTCAGATGCAAAGTTTCCGCCTGGGCTCCAATCTCAGGATGCTTCTCCATTGGGAAAAAAGCAAGCAAGGAAAACAGTCATATCACGTAAGCGCTTGTTCAGGGAAAATATGACCTTAAGTATGTTGTAGATGGATTGGAAAAGGCTCCTTTGAGTTAGGCGGGCTTTGGTGAAAAGCCCTAAGATTCATTGCATAGTTGAAGGGTTTAGCTGTCTATCGCAATATATGGGAACACAGGTTGTGTTCACTGAGATTAAGTTTGCAAATAGCACATTTTAAGAAGTATTAATGTATTATGTTACTTAATCTTTATCTATTTACATCTGTACAAAGTAAAGCTTTCATCTTACCCTTTTGCATATATGAACCATTAGCCCAAGAATCAATTTTTTTTCTTTTTTCCTTTCTTTTTCTTTTTTTCCTTTTTTTTTTTTTACAGAACTATGTACAGACCTTCCCTTCTTGACCAGAAAACAGTTTTGCACGGTGGATTGTGTGAACTCCCCTGCCCCCTCCCCCCAACCCCAAATCATCATCAAAATGGTGTGTTGTTGTCTTCACTGTTTTGGTTCAAATCAAACATTTTATAGGAGAGGAGGAGAAAAAATAAAAAGTGTTTAAAAGACTTAAGAACAGATGGCTGAAAGAGCTGAAAAGTTTCAACAGAGAAGATACAAAAACATTTCAAAATTTGCGCTTGAGTCTATACATTTTTTGTTTTGTTTTTTACAAGGGGAAGGGCTGGGGGAGCTCCTAGCCCCCATGGTCCATTGTTGATCACTCAGGAGTCCTCTCGTTGGCTCGTGGGCAAAGTCTCCCGTGTCTTTGTCCTCTCCTCATCGAGCTTCGATGTCCTTCAGAGTATGGGACGGTGGTCTCTCCCTCATTTCTGCGGACAGAGGGGTTGTCCTCCGGGGGGAGACGGGGCGGCCCCCCAGCGTGGAGATGAGCGGGGGTGGTGCGCTGAGCGCGGCCGTCGGCGGCGTCTTGTTGAGCAGCCCATTCTGGTGAGCCGTGGTAGGGCTGATTCGGGGATAGTGCATGCTGGGAAGCCCGGGCGTCAGCAGGCCGGGGTGGCCCAGGTGTCCGTCCAGGGAGGCGGCGTGGACCGAGTGCAGCCGCGGGTGCTCGCAGTCGTCTCGTAGCACGTGCAGGCGCTCGCGCTCATCCAGGTGGGCGCTGCGCTCGTGCTCGCGCCGCGGGTCCACGGAGAGCGGGGGATGGTGGTGGTGGTGGTGGTGACTGTAGTCATGAGGCTCCCGGTCTCGGAAGGAGCGCTCGGCCTCATACAGCCGGGGCGTCGAGAGGCGGTGCAGGGGGTCGCTCCGCAGCAGGAAGTCTCTGCCCAGGGGGTCCCTCCGGTGCATGTCCAGTTCTCGGTAGGGGTCCCTTAAGGGGTCCCGGATGGGGTCCCAGTGGAAGGAAGGATAGGGGAAGCGCTCCCCGCCCGGGATGGGGCTGATGCCCATGAAAGGGGTCATCATTCGAGTCCTGTCCAGGCTGCTAATGCTGTTCATGGGGTGGACGCCTGCCACCCCCACCGTCATGGGCATGGCGGCCAGGGGTCCTGCGTGCACGCTGGGCGCTGAGCTGGGGGGCGGCGGCTCTGAGGCCCGGTGGCTGGGCGCGGCCTCGGGGGGCAGGTCGTGTTCCTCCTTACGCTCCTCCTTCACCTTGACCTCCGAGCTCTTCTTGGGGTTCTCGAAGGCCGCCTCGCTCTTGCGCGGCTCCGCCTCGCGGCTTGAAGTGCTGCTGGGTCTGGTGCTCTCCACGGCAGGGGTCCGCACATAGGGGGACGGCCCCCGGGCCAGCTGCTTAGCCTCATCGCCGCCGTGGCCGTGCGCGTCCTTCTCGGGCGCATGGCCCTCCTTCGCCTTGTGCTCATCGGCGGCCAGGTCCTTGCGGGACTCCGAATGCTCCCGCTCCCTCTCTTTGGGTTTGTCTTTCTCGCGAGCCTCTGTGTTCAAATGCCCCCTGAGCGGCTCGCTGTTGCCGCGGCCGTGGCCCAGGGCGCTCACCGGGAGGGCGGGTGCTGGTGACGGGTGGCTGGAGTGGCGCTTCTCCACGCTTTCCCTGGGGAGATGGAAAGAGGGAGAGACACGGGAGCCGATGAGACGTGGTGGGCCTGCAGGGGGCACCAATGAGATGTGGCCAGAAAAGAGGCCGGGGACAGGGCCCAAGCAGCCACCCTACTCTGCCTCAACTAACGGTTAGAACTTTAGGGGTGCCTCCTTAGAAATGCGGGCAGTGGGAGAGCCCAAGGGGAAGGCAGCTCTCAGCTTCTAAGAGTCAGGTGCCTTAGTCAAGATCACAAGGAAGATTCGGGAAGGCCAAGCCAGAACCTGACCCACTGGTCAATTCACAAGTCTCAGGACCACTTCCTTGGAAGAAGGATGTTTTCAGAGTCCAGACTCTCCTTCCAACTTCTGGCACTATGAAGGAGATGAAGCATTTTACCTTCTTACTGCTGACACTCGGGACAAACCACCAGCTCCAGAGAAAGGAATGTAGCCAAGATGTGGCACCTGGAGGGAAGGTCTTAAAGGAACCCAGTATTTCAGGGTGGTGGTCAGGTGGCAGGACATTCCACATCAGGAAGGATAAGGAAACCAAAATTTGAGAAGAGGATGGTGCAAAAAGCCAGTAGGAAATGCAGGCTGGTAAATGCACAAACTCACAGGGAGAAAGCAAGTGGAGCCAATTGAAAAGGCACCTGTGAGGCAAAGGTGGAACAGGATTGCCAGGGGCCAGTCTCGGGCTGGGTCTTAAGAGGACCAGGCAGCCAACGCAATTAAGAGGAAACGTGGAAAATGGGATGAAGAGCCAAGTCAGGCTTAGGGACACCCCTGCAGTGGTGCCTTGGCTCAGTACTGACCAGGGTCAGTACTGAGGACAAAGACATTGGCCGTGGGAGAAGAAAAGAAGCTTCTGGAAATCGTGTTTCCAGCCAATGTGCAAAGGCTGAGGCAAAGCATTAAGTGTTTAAAAGGTTAAGACAAGAAGCAGCATTGTATTTCGGAGTTTCATTTCTAGGCTTGGACCCAAGAGGCCATTTTGACTCCCTGAGGTAAAGTGTGGAAAGCTTTGCTGCCACGTATGACTCTCTCACCAGGGACAGGTGGTGAGAGAAATGGGACCCATCTGCCCACCACTAGGTGTGCGTGACTTTAGCAGGTGACTGCTCAGGCTTAATGTCTGAACGGTCTTCCCGTTTGGTCAAGAGATTTGTGTCACACAGTCTTTAAGGAAACTCTCTGCAAATACCACATTCCGGGCCTGTGGAGCCTTTAAACTACTAAGAGGGACACACGCACGCACGCACGCATGCACGCACACACGCACGCACACACACACGCTCTGCACAGTAAAGAAAACGGAAAGAGAATTTGCGTCAGATGTTAGTCTGAAGTGCCAAAAGAAAATTCTAATTTGGTATTTTCTGTTAAGCCATACCCTGTGTACTACTAGGAGACCTTGGGTGGTGTGTAAATGGTTAACACGCTATGGGTTGGATGTTTGAGTCTACCCAGAAGTGCGTCTGAAGAAAGTCCTGGTGATCTGCTTGTGAAAAAGCAACCATTAAAAATCCTACGGACCACGGTCTAGTCTGACACACATAGAAGGTGGGTTGCCGTGAGTTGGAATAAACTCAAGGGCAACTGTACGTTCGTTTGTTTTATTGGTGTACCCTTTTGCTAGTCAATTTGTTCCAAAAACCAGACACCCAAACCGAAACACAATACAAAACACTGCCATACTTTTAAGAATGCTGTAAGAAAACTACTATCTAACAGTTTCCTCTTTGATACTACTTTTTCAGGCAGAGGTTTACCAAGTACAGAGGAGGGAAAAAGCGTTAGTAAAATCACCCATGGGTGAACCAAACCCAATGAAACCAAACCCCTGTTTGTTGACATTTCTCTAAGTCTAGGTTTAGCAAAATTTCATTCGTTATCTGAGAGCCCTCAGGATTGGAGTTGGAACACAACTGGAGGAGAAATAGAATGAGGCAATGCAAACATGACTTTCTAGAAGAAAACAAAAAGAAAGCGAGAGAAAAAAACCTATGGATGAGGTAATGGGCTACACGGATTGGAAAAGCAAATATGGTATTGATTCATGCTGTGTTGTGTCTGGTCCACGGCTCAAACTCACTGCCTTTTAGAGAAAGAGTTCTATCTGGACATGCTAGTGGGCGTAGGACCGGTGGACCATCTGTTCTCCATGCTGGACTGCTTTGAAGTCAGTAATAGTCCACTCTCCTAAGCTCATGGTCTGCAGGCAGGATGTCCTACGGGGCCTGGGGTGTTCACTTGCTCGGGGACTGCAGGGCTGTGTGAAGGCTCTGTGGCTACGGGTTAGCAGAAGCACGAGGCTGGGCAGGGAGGGAGGGTGGACGGCCGGTTCCATTGGTGCGTGGTGCATTGTGGGCTCCCCCATTGGGTCTCGAGAGCGGTTTCTTTGCGTACCTTTCTTTGTCATCTTTACTAACGGAGGAGTCACGTTTATCTACATCTCTATCTCTGTCATGAGCTGCAGCGGGCGCGCTACGCTCCAGCTCGCCTGGCTTCAGCCAGGGCGGAGGGGTCGGGAACGACGGAGGCGTTCGGTGCAGCCGGTTCCAGGGTTCGTGAGGGTTGCTAATGTTCTGCACACTGGGGCCATCCTTGTGGCCGAACATTGAGTTGGGTGCTGAAATGGTGAAGTGGAGAACAAAAAAGGTTTCAGAGAAATTATATAACCTGCCAGAGTGAAGGTACTTACCAAAAAACTCTTAACAGCATTCAGAGTTAAAATGAATACATATTATTGAGAGCTGGAAAAGGAAAGGAGATTAACACATTCATTAGAGGAACTCTTGTCCTAACCTGAAGAGGTAGCTCACAGATTTTTGTCTTTTCTGTTTTTAAACCCAAGGCAAACGGGGAAATGGGGGGATTAAAAAGGAAAGGGACCCAACAGGTACCTACATGACATTATCAAACACATCAGTGGAGCATGCATAGGGTGTGCTTTGATGATGGGACTCAGAGTGGAGTTCAGGTCATCTTCTGCCCACCACCTCACAAACCTACCACTGTCGAGGTGACTGAGACTAGAACAGACCGTCCCATAGGGTTTCTGAGGCCGTGCATCTTTACAGAAAGACTGCCGCACCTTTCTCCCACAGAGCGGCTGCTGGGATCAAACTGTCAACGCTTAGCTCACTGCGCCACGAAGTCTGCTCCTGCCTGCCAAACAGTCCTGATAATATGACTACAATTTTTGCCAGGAATCCTGGTGTGGCGCTGTAAAATAAGCACTCAGCCACAAGGTTTGAACCCATGGGTGGTGGTTCAAGCTCACCAGTCGCTCCTCAGAAACCCTACACAGGGTTGCTGTGAATCAGAACTGCCTCAATGGTTGTTGTTGTTGTTAAGTGCCATCGAGTCGAGTCCGACCCATAGCGACCCTGTACAGGGTTTCCGAGGGTATAAATCTTTACGGGAGTAGAAAGCCTCATCTTTCTCCCGCGGAGCCGCTGGTAGTTTCGAACCGCTGACCTTAAGGTTCGCAGCCCGATTCGTAACCACTACGCTACCAGAGCCAATAACAACATTCTTGCCCGAACTTTATCAACGGAAACAAATGTTATTAGAGACCAGGCAGGCCCACTGGCCTAAAACAGGTACATCCGGTCTCCACGTTACATTTTGAATAACGACCAAATTGTAGCCGTTTCTTTGGAGCTGCATTTTAAACCTGGAGAATTATCAATAGCACAAAAGTAAACAAGTTGGGTGTTCCGGTAGCCAAACAATGTTTTCAATATTCAGGAACCCAAACCACACACAAGGATGGCAACTCTTTTTCCTACTCAGAATAAACTTTTTATAACAGTACAAAAAAAAACAGGATATGGACAAAACAATCTCTCCTTAGTACACAATTATGTGATGTTGTCAATGCTTGGCTGTTCTAAGCCAGGTTTTCCTCACGGAGCCTTTTCAATTTCACTCATGCCAAAAGCAAAGACGAAATTGAAAAGTTGTCTTCACTCCTAATGGGCGTTGTAGCCCAAGTCTTGGATAATGCCGACTGACAATGGATTAAACGAAGAACTTTAATAAACCTTTTGGAGTTCAGCCAACCACATGACCAGCCTTGGCCGTTGGTTACAAACATTAACAGTGGGCCATGCTTCCAATGGTGGCTGCGTTAGAAAAGGATATTCATTCCCAACCTCACGGACTCGGGGTATGTTCTAAGCATGTTGGCCAGGCGCATGGTTCTCTTTTACGCGGTACGGTCTGGAGCTGTATACAGGTCTCAGGAGAACAGCAAGCAAGAAACTAGAGGTACTCACTGACTGACGGGTTTCCAAGTCCCCCGAAGGCATTGCCACCAACTGCTGCCAGGCCTGTGAACGTCGATGGCCGGTTAAAAGGCTCTGCAAACCAGACAGAAGACAAGAAGTGCTTACTGGACCCTCCTGGAACCAGGAAATGTGTGGCCTGCCCCACTCACCCAGCCCTGACCAGCAACTCTACCAGATTCTGGACAAGTTTGTATCATTGCTCTTCAACTGACATACTTTTGTTTACAAAAATGCTTCCGAGGGTGATTTTTCTCTCTCTCTGGCCTTTTATAACCCATGTTTTGTCCAGTGGGGAACATTACTTAAGCCACAACATTGTATGTTTCACCCTGCCCAGGCTCCCTGCTCTAGTGTGCTTGGGAAAGCCTCCAATGCAAGAGAAAGGCCGTATCTGAAAACACAGTTCTCAAAGCTGAAATTCCAAAAGCTTGTGTGTGACCATCTACCCTACCCCTGGGCACACCATTGTATCTGCATGGACACTGGCAGAAATGACCAGATGACCAAACAGAGGCAGGAAACAAAGCAATACCCCTTTACTAGGAAGAGAGAAAGGAACAGGGCCGTGAAATGCAAAGTAAAAACAGTTGCTGAAAAACGGGACATGTCTCTTGGTCATCTTGCCTTGCCACCTCCTGCAGGTGACTGTAGACATGGGATGAAGGTTTACCATTGCTCTCCAGATGGCCAAGGAAGGGCAGGCTGCTGGGAACCAGGATATCCCGAGGTACCAAGGCATGGCGGTGGGGGCCTGTTATCAGGAGTTCCTTACTGAGGAGAGCTCCTTAGGTATTGAGGTAGAGGAGACCCAGGAGCGTGGTGGACAAAGGTTTTCTAAATGACACAGGTCAGTGCCCATTACTGATGAATAAAGGAACGCACCTAGGTGAGCAGGGTTAAGAAAGTTGCTGTGATGAGGAGGCGGCCCAAAAGGAGTCCCAGTTGGGTGTGCAGCACCTATGAGGTCAAAGAAAACAAAATTCAAACATCACAGGAAGCCACCGTCTTACGGTGTACCTGGCTTCTGGCTTAGGGCCCCGAAGAGACAGCCTGGTGGTCAGGCCATGACTGAATGACTGAAGCCCACCAGGCCTACAGACAACACACATGTCTTCCAATGTCCTTGTCAGGAAGTAGACAGTGAGTCACCTCCTTTCCTCTACATGGTAGCTGCTGAAGAGAGTTCTATTTTGTTAAGACGACGACATACGATATTAGAGATATCTCAATCATGTCGGGGGAGTTCGGGGAAGTTCAACAGCCAAGAAAAGTGTGGAGAAGCAGGTGTTCAGCTAAGTGTCTCCTGAAGGGAGTCTGTGGCACCATTAACTTAACCACAGGCCCATTCATCCCCTGAGAGGAGAAGAGTTTGGGATACTTTCTTCACAGAGTTGTCGGGGGTCACGAATCTTTCTCTCTGAGGAACACTGTTTCGGAAAATAGACATGTTCTCATCTTTGGCTTGAAAGTGGGGGGGTCAAGAAGCTGTGGATCTGACTGAGCTGCTTGGACCCCCCTGTAGAATGTGCTAGTTGAAGACTTGAAGAAAGGGCTACTTGTCCTGGATCCATGAAACATATCCTGCTGAGGTAACTTGTGTGAGATGACGCCCTTCCATTTCTGTCAAACTTCAGTGCCAGGAAAAGCCAATTTCTTTTGGACTCTGAAAATCTTGTACTCTATTAACAGTCTTTCTTTACCTTCCAGGGAACTCAGCTCTAACATCATGGCGGTCTTCCCTTCTACTTCCTTTGTCTACACTTCCTCCTCTGTTATCAGGGAGATGGGCTTTGCTATGGACAAGAGACCTGCCAAAGTCTCCTGAGTTTATTTCAGGCATTAGTGCCCAACAGTAAGATGAACATGACTGAATGTAGCGATTGTGTGCAAATGAAACCATCAGTCCAATGTTTCACCAAATAAACATGTAGGACCAGATCCTACTTTGCCTGCGCTTCCAGAATGGAAGAGTCCACAGGGCTGGGATTCATGAGTTTACTAATCACAGTTCCATAATCCTTTGCGTTTTGTTTGAGCTTCTATAAACAAATGTAAATTCCCTCCGGAACACAGATTAAACATAGGAGGGGTGTCCCTATTGACATCCTATTAAAACTCCGTTTCTGTTTGGGATTGCTCTTCCTGGGATGGCACCTGGCTCGTGTGCCTGGGTGTACGGAGGACGCTACAAGGTCACTCTGCTCTGTGGACATCGAGGGTCAGCACAACTGTCTCAGAGCTGAGCCGTTCTCTTATGTCATCCTAGATGGGTACTGTCACGCAGCAAGTGCAAAAATGACACCCCACCACCTCCAAGTGAATGGAGTCCAGCATATTCATTAGGTGTTAACTGTGTTGCCAGCTATATAAAATTTTGGCCTCATACTGTCTGTGTGGGACATGCTAATTAAAGCTTCAAGGAAGACCAGAGTGTTGCATAGCCCAAGACTGGGTGCCCTGCAGTTCCAGGACTATTGAAGCAGAAAGCAGGCAGTTTATCTGATTGGCTATACAATGGACGTCGGGGGAAAATATGTTATCTCTTTCCAAAAATTGCTCTTAATGGACTCCTGTTTTGTCCATAGTAACAGAACCTTTATGTCTGTCCCTTAACAGAACCAGCACCTTAGCACATTCCACCCACCTTCCAGGGTTCTGCTTTAGCAAGAAAGTCCATGAAGATGATTACTTCTTGCATTGGGGGGTGGGGGTGGGGAGTGTGGCATTTCTTTCTTCCTGAATGAAGAGCCTGGGTCCACCAAAAACAAGTCTTGGGTATGAAGCTTGTTCCTCCGGATGAGACACAGGGAGCCCCAAGAAGACGCACGTCTGGAGAACAGCTTCTACCGAACATGCTGGATTTGAAGGTATAAGATCTGAGAGGCTCTAATGAGCTCAAGGCCATGTGTGACAAGTCCTTGGAGTGGAGGTCTGAGCCAGGACAGTGGCCAAAAAGAGCTTTGAAAAAGACCCATGACAAGAAACCCTTGAGGCCAAGAGGCTGGTTTTCGTCTACCAAAGACTCTTCCTTCATGGTGTTGGTGGTGTCTGGGTGCTGTCGATTCAATTCTGGTTCTTGTTGGTTCCATGTGACAGGGAAGAATTGTCCCACAGGGTTTCCTAGGCCACGGCCTCATATGCAGATGGAAGATGGCCAGTGAGTAAGACAGACTGAAACAAAGCCTCTGAATGATGCTGTTGGCGTGGACTGTTGGCAGATCAAATCCAATGACTCCTTAGAAAGGAGGGGGATATACTGTGGACGTGTTCTCAGGAGACCAGTCCCTGGAGAAGGACTCATGCTTGGTAAAGTAGAGGGTCAGCATGGTATAGGACCAGGCACAGGATGGCTGTGAGTTGGCACCGACTTGCTGGCCAATAACAGCACAACCATCTTTACAAGAGCAAATTTCCAGGTTATTTCTCGTGGACATGCTGGGTGGGTTCAAACTGCTGCCCTTCTGATTAGCAGACGAGTGCTTAACTACTGTGCCACCTGGGCTGCATACACTTATGTTATTGTTGGTAAGTGCTGTCAAGTTGCTTCTAACTCACAGCAACCTTGTAAAGGATTTCCAGGGAGTGGATGGTGAGTTCCGACCACTCACCTGTGGTCCAGTGCTTAACCGACAGCGCCACTCCAGGAGTCCTGCATGCACTTAGTAAGTGCAAACTCTTATAGCCACTGCCTTTTCTTTGTAGGCACCTGGATCTGAAATGGATGCTGCCACTTGGGACGGTAGAGTCTCGATCCCCCTCTTACTCCCAGAAGTCACACCCAAGAGGTACAGGGAGGAGGAGTGACTAACCGAAACGAGCAGCCCTCTCTAGTGGTTTTAATTCTGTCTTCTCCCTCGTTACAATCAGCCAGGCAGCCATGTGAACTTCTATAGCAGAAGGAACCAGCAGCCAAGAGATTCACCCATACCCCAGAGAACATATCACCAGCAATTCTCCTCTCTCTCAGAACACAGCACAGGTGGAGATTCCTTGTGCAAAACTACGGAGCACTCTGTGGGTACACCAAGAAGGGCAACTGAAACCCTAATCAATGCCTGGTGTGCTGTCCTTCCCAGGTGCCCCTGCAAGCTCTCCCATCTTTTTTCAACAGCATTTGACATGCCTCTGAGTGACAGTTTAACATAGGAGCAAAGACTCAGCTGCGGCAATCAATATGCATTCCCACGAAGAAAAGACGACCTTGTTTTCCTTCAATGAAGAAGGCTCCGTTTCCTTCACTGGGCTATCACGCAGACTTGTCAGCGGGCCCAGGGTGTGATTTTCAGTGGAGATTGGCAGTGTGGAGCACAAACATCATTTATTCAGCTACCCGAGAACGGGCGGAGTCTCAGTCCCACTCACCCATACTCACCAGCGGCAGAGAACAAAGTTGAAGGCCGTGCCAGGTCGTGGGGGTGGTGGATAGCTCCAAAGAGACTGGGGCCCGGAGGGCGGCTCAGGAACTCGGGTTTCAGTCCAAAGTCCAGCTTGTGTGGGTCTGACTGCATCTGTTTCTGGAATGGCAAAGGGAGCCAAGAAAGGTGGGATCACTAGAGGGGCACAGCAGGTACAAGCAGCTCGAGCCAGACAGAAGAGACTGCCAAGCGAGCCCTCTGCTCAATCCCAGTCCAGGCCAGGATTCAGAATGCCAGGAGAATGCCTCGCTTGAGGGCTGCCAGACAACGGATGACAGAGAAGCAGGTCAACCTACATACAAGGGGTCCACCATCAGACACGCCAAGTGACAACACTCTTGGGATCTCTGAGGTTCTATGACGAGGAGGCAGACCAGATCCGAAGGAGTCCAACTGCCACCCCTCCTGCCACCCCTTTATAATTCACTGCAGAAGCCCATTTTAGCAAGCTGGAAAAGGAGAGTATTTCAGAGCTCATTTTACTAAGGATTTCCACGTGAATCATTTGCGGCGTAAATTAATTGTTTAACGACTCCTCACCACACTTTAATAGATCACACTACATTAGTAACTGGAAAGTTATGAAGAAATATCTGCATGCCTACAAGCTAATCCTCAAATGATTATTGCAACATATTAAGAATTGAAAGAGAGAAGGAAAACCCACAGCCGAGGAGGGGTGCTCACTGAACTCATGGGATCTTTCCTTTTCTTTGCTGTTGCTGCATGTGGTTGAGGAGATGCTAACTCCTTAAGGACCCCAAGTGACAGAGGAGAACTGCCCTGTAGGGTTTTGAGGCTGTCATATTTGTGGCGGCAGATCACCAGTTCTTCCCACAATTCCTGTGGTAAGTAAAATCGGAGAACCACCAAGAACCCCTCTTGAGGCACAGCTGGTGCCATCAATTAAAGTTCCGTGGCGCGATTTCCTCTCGTTCATCCGGCCTCTCATGTTGTTCTTTCAGCTCCCCTTCCTCAGTTGTTGTTGTCAGGTGCCAGGGTTAATTCTGACTAACTGTGACCCCATGTGACAGACTAACAGTGCCCCACAGGGGTATCCTGGCTGTTCAGCATGAGAATTTATGGAAGCAGATTGTTGGGTATTTCTCCCAGGGAGCTGCTTGGTGGGCTTGAACTGCCAACCTTTCAGTGGACAACCGAATTCTTAAACCACTGTGCCACCACGGTTCCTTTCCCGCCTTCTAGGCTGGCCCTCTTGAGGTTGACAACGCCCTCTCAACAGCATGGTCTCAAGGTTGCTCCACCTTCCAGATTCGTAAGTCTTATATTTGAACCAGCTACAGCTGCCCACACGGGCACTGCCCCCACCTCTGACTGGACGCATCTCAGAGACCCGAAGCTCTGAGCTGCTCTCTCGCGCTCCTTCTAAGCCCTTAGCCTGCTTCTGACTCTCTCCCACTCCTCCGTCTCCTCGGATGTTCACAGTCCATCCCACCCGAGTCGTGCTCTGGTGTCCTGCTGTGAATCCTTGCCATATTCTACAAACTGGCATCTGATACACCTGGCATGAGATTTGAAGGGACAAGGGAAGGTTGCTGTTCCCTTATTGCTGAAGGCCTGAGTCCCACTCATCTCCCACACACAATGATCGGACAACCTACCCAAGCACCTCAGAGGAGTCCCAGTGTGGTACAAAACAGTCAAGCAAAAGGTTCCCAGAAGAAAAGTGTAGTAATCTATTACCCAAAATCCTCCACTGAAGACCCCGTGGGGCACACTGACACGCACGGAAAAAATGTGTGGGGGCAGCATTTGACTTCCTACCACTTCACCAGGGGATGGAGAATTGACCTCCACATCAGTCCCAGGCTGATTCCTGGGAGGTGGAGGCCAGTCACACCTGGCCCCTTCAGGCTCCTTTACTAACGCTGGGGAGAACCATCTCTTCCGTTGCACTCTCTAGTCTCTGCTTGGTTTCAAAAGTCATTGCAGTTTGTTGTTATTGTGGTTAAGTGTTGTTCAACGTATTCCAACTCCTAGCAATCCTGTTATAGCAAGGGTGGGGAACCGTGTTTCTGCCAAGGGCCATTGGGATATTTGTGGGCTGGGCAAAATTAGCAACTTAAAAATGAACCTGCTCTGTTTCGATGACTGGAGGTGCAGTTGTCTTGGTGGGGCCAGACCACATGAGTCTGTGGCCCGCGGGATGGACATATAAATGTTCCGAGGAAGAGCTGGTGGGTTTGAACCACTGACCTTGCGGTGTACAATCCAGTGTTTTTCCTACAACACCACACCACAGTGCATACTCTGATAATGGGATGTATCAGGAAAGTTGAAATATGCTCAGGATAGTTGCGTGGTCAGGAGTGCCTCTTCTCAGCCATGTACGCAGACAGGCTTTCTCAGGTCCTGGGCTCCTTGGCCTGGCCTCTGCCCTGCTCGGGTAATGTTACAAAACTCTTTTAGGGTGGCTGCCAACTGCTCAAAGGACACTCCATGTCACTCACCACCTCAGCCCAAAGGCGCTCGGCTCTGCCTCCCTCAGGAAGTGTCAAGAATGGGAATGGTGGCATCTGGTTTGAGTTCTGAGAACCTCCTCAGCTTGGCAGCAAAACCCCTTGGGAGGCACACAACACTTTGTGCACACGCTCTCAGCACCTGGGAGGCAGGTGACAACCATGTCTGTCCACTCTGAGCCTGGCTCAGTAGCCTGCAGGTGGGAACTTGCTCAGTAAAGACTTGGCAACTAACAGGGAATATGAGCGCAAAAGTGGTCCTCCAAACTTAATAGTCAAACTCCAAAACTCAGCTTCTAATTCACTACAAATCTATACAACTCCTCTGCCTATCTCCTTTCATTTGGGAGCCAAATTATCAAGTGCTGCCACTGCACGGTACACAACACAGTCCCATTAACCACAACTCAGGTCCACGGAGCAGAACGGAGCCTAGGGAAAACAGCCAGTTTGCTGAAAAGGGAAGATGTGCAGAACATCTCATGTTCCAGGGGTCTTCCTAATTGAATTGGGATAATGAAAGTTCTAGTCACCGGGGACCCTTTGATGGAAAGGGAGCTGTGTAGTCAACATCCTTCATTGCGTTTAAGCCAAAGGGTTACCAGGGATGGCGTGCCGCTTTACCTACACTTCTGCTAAGCCCGTCATCCAGAACCAAGAGTGAATTGAACTAAGTATCAAAATCTACTTAGCTCTTTGGAGCACACCCGCTTTCTAACTAAGCTAAACAATAAAGGTTCCTAATTAAACCTTGCCTACCGACGGCACTTAACAACAACAAACACCCAATAAAGGAAGAGTGAGCAAAACTCACTGATGGGAAGTTATGAAAAAGACCGGTATTTGGCAACCGCAGCACAGTATCTTCCAGACTTCATCTACTCAGGTGTGTTCTGAAACTTGTAACCTGTTTCTTTTTAGTCACCTAGCCTCCATGCTGCCTGGTTTTCCCCTCTTTGCTTCCAGGTCTGTTACGTTTTCTCTTGATCATGGATCAAGCTCACAGATGCTATGGAGTTGAAAGAAAAATTGTTCATGAAGATAGGGATTCGATGAAGTTGGCTGGGATGACTTGGTTGGTGGGTTTCTCCTGTTTTCCCATACACAGCCAGACTGTAAGGGTCCACTCTGTACAATCCGGAGTTGCTACTGTGTTCCCTAACACCAATGGGCACAGCTGGCTCCTTCTAAGAGTTCTTAATCTTTTCTTTACTGCACCAATAGATGCCCGAGTTAGGATGAGTCAGTCACACGGGATAACTCAGTCAAGTGGCCTCAAACTGTTCATAAAGTTTACGTTTTACACCCCAGTTTGGTGAGTCGTGTCTGCATCTAAGCCTGCAAGTGGTCATCTAAGATGCAATTAATGACTAATGTCTGGTTCCCATGGGCCTGGAGAAGGGACCGGACCCAAACACCCTCCAGGTACCACTGACTCTGCCATCCTGAGACCAGACCTAGATGGTGCCCAGCTATCACTGCCAAACATTCTGACCAGGGTCACAGCATGTGAATCCAGGCAGAAAGGGAGGATGATGTGGAACAGAATTTTACATTCTCAGTGAGTCCAGACGTACTGGATCCAATAGACTGGAGGGATCCTCAAACCAACTGTCCTGACATACTCCTAACCTTGAACTGAAATTATCCTGAAGTCACCTTTTAACTACAGAGCAGGTTAACTCAAAAAGCAAAGCATGTCACTCCGCAGTACTGATTTCTTTCTTTCTTTTTTTTTTTTTTAAAGGATCTATATGAGACCAGCAGCTATTCTAAAGCAAAGACAAGAAAGTTTGGGTGTCAGTGAGACTCAGTTAATGGGAAGGGAACAACAAAGAGGCCGTTATGTGTTTAGAATGTTGTCACCGTCACTGACGTTATTACATGGAGACACTGTAGAATGGAAACCTAATCTGCTGTCTATACTTTTCACCAAAAATACAGGGAAAGAAAGGTAGACGTTTTGTAGCAAGGAGGGGAGTGATTAACTTTTCAATCTAGGAGCGGAGGTCCCTGGGACCATCAAGGGAGAAGAGCAGAGTGCGAGATCCTACCCAGAGAAGCAGCGATGCCTGAGATGGAGGCAGAGACGATGACATGGAGAGATGGAGCTGCTGGGGACTCTAGACCCAGAGATGGAGAGGGGCTGTGTGCTGATGACCGGGGATCAGGCTTGCAGGGTATACCCTTTGGTTGGTTGATGATGCATGGAGGGGATTGTTAACCATGGCAATGAAATGATATACGGTAGGATGAATGTAAAACTAATGTTTTTCCATGTAAACTATCACATAATTCACAATATAACATTAAGAAAAAAACCAGGGAAAGATTTCAAAATAAACAAAAGACATTGGCCAGTGGCAGAATGTATTCACCAGTATGGTTGGTACTGAATGGAAACAAGAAAAGGTAACTCTCCAGTCTGACTGTGGTGTAACCCTCGGCACTGGCTGCACAGACCACTGGAAAATTCACTACTTTTATGTCCAACTCATAGCAACCCTATACAAGGACAGAGTAAAATGTGCCCCACAGGGCTTCCAGGGTGTTAAATCGTTACCGAAGCAGACTGCCACATCTTCTTCATGATGCGTTCGAACTGCTGACGTTTCAGTTAGCTGCCAAGTACTTAACCACTGTCACTAGATTCCTTTACAGGTAACTGCAAATCCACACTACCCCTTCTGGAAGAGTGGTTTGGACCAGTCCACACTGCTAAGGGAAGTTCCTCATTACTGCCTTTCTATCTACCATTAATGATCATTTCCCCAAAGCCAGAGAGTGAAAACCATGGCACCAATTCTTACAAATAAAAACAAACCTTCTTCTCATTCTTAAGCCTTTCTTCTTCTAAACTCTTGGTCACTGCAACTAAAATTCTAAAGCCTTTATTTTAGAATTCAAATCCACACTTATATACCTTGGATCAAGAAGATGACAAAATTAAACCATTTTTGTAAACACAGAAGGAAAGAAACCACCAGGGACTTATTAATTAATATGTTTTACATCTGTTAATTTGCGGGTGGCTTCCCTGGTTAATGGTAAGATTTCTGAAGTTTTTCCAAAAGGAACTGGGTCCTTCTGGCCTGTGGGTGCCTCAAGTACAGACTCGTAATGCTGCTGGGAGCAGGTTCTCAGTAAACAGATCACCACACATACATACATATACACACAGGGACACACACCCATAGACAGACAGACAGACCCCCACACCCCTCCTCTCCATCGGAACACCTGTACTGACCTTTACTTTTTGTTGGTGGTGGTAGATCTGCCAGGCAATGTGGACATGCATAGCACACCACTTCCCTGGTTTCTGGAACAAGAAAGAACATCGTGGTCAAAATGGAGACGCAAGAGCAATAACCAACTTTGATTCCCCCAAAGTCTGCCGTGGATCTTGGCCCCAGCAGTTTGTTCCTGAAAGTAGGTAGTTCTGTCCACTCCTAATGACCAGGACTATGGGAGCCCCAGGCACATGGCCTCTACATCCGCTTGGAGGACCAACCTAGTCAGAACCTGAGCTCAACTTTGGGGACCCCCACCCCACCTGTCTCTTTCCTGGGGCCAAATGGCTGACCTGGTAGTAACTTGGTGGCCTACAAAGACCTGGTGGTCTTCCAAACAAAAGCAGCCAAGCTGTCATGCAAATCTGCAGTTCATACCCAAAGAGCTGATTAAGAAATGCCTGTGGCTCCAATCAAAACCAGAGGGCTTAGAACCTCACCCCACACCATATTTAAAAAAAAATAAACTCCCAACATGGTGCAAAGAAATCCACCTTGTTTTCTGGAAAGCACAATTCTCACAAGTGTTTCACTGACTGCCAGCCACCCACACTCCTGGGGGTGGGCACTGTTCATTTTGTAAGGGAATGAGGAAAAGAGAAGCAAGAATGCAATCCTGCTCCCTATTTAGGCCTCTGCAGACATCAAGCCGCCCCTCTGGGGAGGAGTCTATGGGTCCAGCTCCCTTGAATGACCCCACGCCTTTGCTTTGCACGCATTAGGGTCACTGTGCGTGTTTTCTGTCGGATCATCCAGAGGCAGGGACCATAGCGTTCCACTTCATTTGTATTCCTGCTAATGAACTGATCCCACCACTCAGTAACTACTGCATGGAGGAGAAGCAGAAACACCATCCTAATCCTGTCTCGGCAAACAACAGGAGCTCTGGTTTCCACGGGAGAGAGTTACTTCTGAAACTGATACTTCAACCCAAGTCTTGGGTCAGCTCTTTTCTCTTGTTATTTAATTACGGGTTTTCTCCGGTTACAGACACTATGCCATCTCTCCTTAAGTGAAGACAAAATCCTTCCTCTTTTCCCTTTGGAGAAATCCAACTTGCTGACGCTAGCCCACCAGAAATGGGTTCAAGTCTAGCTAGAAATGAATCCTATCCCCTGCACTCATCACCTAACCTCTTCACACACATGTAGCCCTGCCAGCTTTCACCCACTCCTTCTAAGGTTATCTAACTAGACCCCCTCAGATGCCCAAAGCCACTTGTTGCAACCAACGTTTACAGCATCCGTTTTCTGCACCAGAGAAATAAGTCGAATGTCTGTGCCAAGTTCATTCTACATAATGCAGAATGAGGGAGACATCGGCCATCGATAAATATGAGGGGGCTAAGGAGAGTTGGTGGAGAAATTCCATTATCTTTTCATTTCATTTCCACACACTTTTGAACCCGTCTCATAAATATAGGTTTATACCAGTAATTTCTAGGTTCAAGGAGAGTTAAGTAAGGGAAACCCTAAAACCAACCTCTAGACCTCTAGCCTTAGACACCCTTCTACAAGAACTGTCAAGTAAGACAGTTTGACTGAGATGAATTTTACTGGTTTTTTTTTTTTGCCCTTCTCCCCATCCTCCCACCTTGGATGACCTGGCTTCCTTGCACACTGGAAAACAATACCACTGAGGAAGGAGCTACACCCCACCCCCTGAAAGACCTAACTTCCGCCGTTCACGGAGACATGTCTCTGGCTAGTTTCGTTGTCATGGACTAGGACTGGTTCTTTAACCCACAGGGAGTCAAAGAAAGGTTGCGCGACCGTTCTAAAAGAAGTGTTCTTACCCGTAGCATGGGTCTGAAAGGATCTGTCAACTGTGAAAAGAAAATGACAACTTGGTTATACGCCTGTCACTCAAACAATTGCTCTAATTAACAAATTTGTAGTGCTTCATTAGGAGGGGAAATTAAAATGTTAGAATTTTACTTTTAAATGAAGGCCTTTTAGAGAATAATTAACCCATTTTCACACTATCAAAAGTGCCAAGCCTTCCCTTCCCCCACCTCATAAGCGTGGGCGCATCAACACTGAGGAACCCCAGAAGAAGTTCAATCAGCAGCAATCTGCCCTCGGGGCTCCAGGATCCACTTACTTCACACATCAGCAGAGTTTCATCAGTGTGAGTAACCCTTCCAAACCATACCAAACGGAGCTAGCTTTAGACAAGATGATAATGGTATGGGGTGGGTGTGGGTGGACGGACTGACAACGGTCAGAACAACTCAGCTATCTTTACACTCCCCTTCATTTGACGACTGCTTATCACTAAGACGAACCAGACATATAAAGCAGTTCACTGGACATCGTAAACAGACTTACATAGTTGAGTCCTTTTTAAACTTCTACCTAACTTTGGGTATCACTTTCTGACTGCCCTTACCCAGGGAAAAAGACAACATTGTCAGAGGTACTCATTTTACTGTTTTCTGCACACTTACTATAAAAATGAATGCAAATAACAAATTGAGACAAGAGTAGATCTAGCAAACAACGTTGAGGAAGTTGGTAGAAGAACAGATTATGAGTAGACGATGGAACCAAAACAGACTGGCTATTTGATAAGGCTCTGGAGCACATCCCATAGTAAAAGTCGAGGACTACTTTAAGAGCTCCCTTATGTGAATGAAGGAAATAGATTATTAGTTGTTCTCAGGGAGGAAGACAAGGGAGAGTTGTTACTTGGGAGCTGTTGTTATGTGACGTGGAGTCCGTTCTGACTCACAGCGACCATGTACAGGGTTTCCGAGGCTGTAAATCTTTACGAGAGCAGAAAGACTCATCTTTCTCCCGCAGAACAGCTGGTAGTTTTGAACTGCTGACCCTGAGGTTTGCAGCCTGATTCGTAACCACTACGCTACTTGGGGGTGGGGGTGGCAATTCAGTATTATGTTCATGGGGCAGAATGTCTTGGCACAGGATAGTAAAAACAGTTCAACAGTGTGAATGTAATCAAGACCACCGAATGGTCCATATGGAAATGGTTGAGTATGTTATTTATGTTATTTATGTTTTCATCTGGTCAGAAAGAAAAGTGTTCAGTGCTTTCCTATTCAAAACATTTTGCAGTTGTTTTTTTGTGTGTGAGCGAGAAATGTTAAGGAGCTATAGGTGGAGAGGTCGAAAAAATGGCACACAAGTTCACAGCGGCCACTATGAAGCCATTCCCGGGGTTGCAGGGCCACAGGAGAGCAACGCACTTGTTTTCTGGAAACATTGTCCTCGGATGACCTGTCTTAACAAGCTCACCCTGGCATTACCTGAGAGCAGGCCTGATTTTGCACATACCCGCGGGTCCTTTTGCAGCAGAGTATGTGGGACCGTCCCAGGTCGAGCGGCCACATCGATAGGATTGGATGTCTGCAAGGAAAGGAGACACCAGGGCTTAGGAACCACATCACACGAGACTTGCAAGCAAGAGACTGACTCTGAATTATGGAAGCCAGACTCGGATCTTGTGTGTGTTTGTTGCATTCTGGAATCCATCCCAAGAGTTGAGATTCATTTTTATGATGACCTCCGGTCTCCTTTCGCAAGCCACACGGAGCAGAGAGTACAACCCTAACAACGGTATGTCAAGTTAGATAGCCTGAGCCTATCACGTTTCACTGCATCAAAAAGAGAAGGAACACAAAGCGGAGCAACATATGCCAACACTGACCCTGAAATGCTCCTTTGTTATCCAACTTAACTGACTGACAAGATTGATTGTAATTTCTTCTCCTTTTGCTTTATCACCAAACCTTCCAAGAAATGCTTAAGTGAACATTATTATAATTTGCAGTATCAGGTGCTTCTCATCAGGGTAACCGAAAGTCTTTTGCAAACATTAAGCTCACATTCTAAATTTTAACTGGCAGACAATAACAAGGAATTACACTCGGTAATTACTCATTAGCAGTGGTGGAAATGGGACAAGAGAACCTAATTTAGGGACCACACAGATCTGCTATTAAATGATTTCAGGCAATTCGGTTTCATCCTGAGTAAATTGTTCCTATTCCCACCACCGTTCTTAAATATCACTAATAATATTAACCTTATCTGGAGGCTTTTGAATGAACAAGGGAAGGGAAGGCCATGGGGGAACGAAAAGAAAAGAACAATGCCTAGACTTTAGGCTCAGAGACTCTTGTTTTTATTAGTGGGGGCAAGATTTAGAAAACCACAAGCAGATATCTTGTTTAATAAATCACCCCTTGTACCGATTCCCCAACACCAGGAAGTGAAGTCATGTGGAGAGAGGGCTCCAGTTTAGACACTGAGCTTGCCTGGAAAGAGGAAAAAAAGAATGGAAAAGAACGGCCCTCAGCTGCAGTGCAACTAACAATTAAGCCAGAGTTGTTAACAGCCTGATTTGCATACATATGAAGAACTCCACTAATGAACTGCAATCTACATATTCAATCAGGAAGGTGGCCTAGAAAGGTCTATTTCTACACCAAGAGAGACACTTTCTTGCCCAGATGTAGTTTTCTGTGTGATTGGATAATTGTGAATGAGGGAAATGGTCTAATTTATTAAATGACCTAGCAGTCTGTTTGGGGAGGCACTAGAGAGGTTTGGGGCAACCTAGAAGGGTCTGAGGGAGTCATGAAGAGCAGGTTGGGGGAAGGAGTTTTAAAAAATCGCCATCATGCCATCCCAAGGCAGGAGGTAGTAAGAAGTCCCGTTTATCTATAGAGCCTTGCATATAAGGCTTGGCCTTCTGATTCCAGGCAGGTTAACTGTGATTCCGAAGGCTTAGCCATCTCACTGCACCCTAATGCCTTTTAGCGTCTTTTCCTGTTCCTGGTTTTTGGAAATGCACTATGTGCTCATCCTAGCAGATGGGTCTGAAAAATGAGATTGCAGGGAGGTCGGAGAGCAATCCAAATCATACACAATGTAGTTTCCTACTTTAAAACTCAGAGAATGAAAAAAGGATGCTGTTGATGAGCTGCCTTCAACTTGGCCACCATTCATGGTGCCGAGATTTTGATTCAGCAGAGTTTTCACTGGGGTTTTCCGGGAAGGAGATTGCCAGACCTTTCTTCGTCATCAACCAGTCTTAACCTGGTAGCTCCTCTGAAACGTGTTCATCATCTTAGCAACACACAAGCTTCTACTTGATGGCAGACAGGCAGTGAACACATAGAAGCAGCCCTGGTGAGGAACTGAACTGGGGTCTCCCACATGGAAGGCAAGCAGTCCCCCTCAACTACGCATTTCTTTTGTAGACCTAATACCATGAGAAGTTTCAGTTTTTCAGTATAAAAGCAAGACAAGATCACTACTAGATTTACAGTCATACACAGGTCGAGTGTTCCGAGCATTACCCAACACTGATATGCAGACACAAATCCAGCCCAAACCTTTATCTCCAATTAGTAAGTAACTTCACTCTTAGAAGAGTGGGAAGAGATGACCTTCGCACCACGGGTGTTAGTACTTGATGACCAAGGTTTTGGTTTTGGCGAGTGTGATGGGGGTGGGGGTGGGGTAAGAGATGGAGCAAGCAGTAGAGTCTGAAGAAAGGTACTAAGAAAGGGTCTTCCCCTGACACAACTAAAAGGGTACAATTGAAGTTTGGAGATTTTCTTGCAATTTTTGTCAAAGGGAGCTTCAAAAAAGTGATAGAAAAATTCCATTTTCTTTCAATTCCATGTTTCCATGAGTGCCCTGAAGCCGCCTCATTTGCCTCTAATGGTACACATATGCCTGTCATTTCCTAAAATTCCTGACTGGAAGCGTCTCAGGATTTGTGGGGGGGTGGGGGGTAGGCAGTTGGGGTGGGGTTGGGGGGAAGAACATATATTCCACAAACTTGAACCAGCACAGGGCTATCCTTGATCAACTTGAAATTACATGGATATCCACATATGAATACTGAATGTTGGTTGAGGTTTTTTTTTGGCATACCATGGACTAGAATAAGCCTCTCCATTAGCTTGGGTCTTAAAGACTTTGTCGCTAGGCGGACGGTCGTGTATGCAAAGCCTGCCTGTCTGTGCGTGATGCTGCGTGGGTGTTTACTAGCAAGCCCACTACATGTTTTCCCTGTGAGGGTTCTTACCTTCGGCTGGAATGCTCCTTGTAGTGAACCAAAGGGACCAGTGGGTGGAATCATGGGAGGAATGCCAGATACTGCAGGAGGGTAGGAATGGAAGAGCTGTGGTCGAGGCAGAAAGGGGAAAACAGATTTTAGTAGGAGGCAAATGATACTTTTGTAATTCCCTTCCCATCCAAAGACATCCACATCAGCAAGCCAAGTAATCTCATTGAGGCTATTATTCAGAGCAGCCAGGATGAAATGATCACACAGATGTGCCACGAATGTTTAACTGACAAAGTTAAAAGTAGTTCAGAATCAATCAGGCAACAAATGGCGTCCCAGATGAGAACATCAGTAGAATGGGAGCCTTCCTAATTATTAATTGTTAAATTGGATAGAAGGCCTAAATGTGCTGAGATTTTAATGCATATCAAAAACAGGAGTGCTAAGCCCAGGAAGATGCCCAGGAAGAAAATTACAAGTTAATTAGAAAAAGAGAGAGAGAGAGAGAGAATGGGGGGAAAAAAGGAGGTGGTGGGGGTGGGGGCACGCAAAAGAAATCCTTATGAGTTCCAGGATTTGATACCATTAAAACTCAATTAGTACTTTTAGATTTTTAATAGTTTGTGGAGGAAATGAGAAGATATTCACAATCCGTGCTTCATTAGGTTATCCTAGAAGTGGCAGATTCAGAGGAAAATTTAATTCTCTCATCTCAAGTGGTATCAGACAGTTGTAGAAGAGTGAAATACAGGGCTTAGTAGATTCTTTAAAAAAAAAAAAAATCAAGATACTCATTTTTGTTTTGTTTTTGCTTTAAGCTGTGTTGCAGTAGAAGAAGAAAAAAATCCAAGTCTGGGAGAATGCTATCTCCTTGCAAGTTATGCTTGCTCTGATCCCCAGTATTTCTGGGCCCTCAACGCACTGCCCCATGAACACAGATCCTCCTGGGCCTTTCTGTGTCTCATTTACAGGTCCTGGGAGGTTATCCCAGCCAGACCCCTGGCAGGTCACTCTACTAACCAGTGAATGGCAGAGAAAGAATGCTTCAGATTTGATAAGTTTCTTGAAATCAACAGCTTATAAAAGACACAGTGGAGAAAAGAAATACACAATGAAAACAAATCTTTCCCTCCTCCTTCTAAAAACTTGGTAGTATTCCTGAAATTTCACTACTCTGGTTCCAACTACTTTGATCAAACCACCATCCAGATGGGTAGGCAGTACAATCATCCTTACAAAAATCGTAGCGGAAGCTTTCCTTAATACTCCATTTCGGACAATGGCTCAAACAGACACATCTTGGAGTCCTGTGTGCGTCCACAGCACGGCCTCTTTGTCTTCTGTGCGTCTGTATTTCTTTTTGCTCCCCTCCAATGATGCATCTCTGGTAGCGTAGTGGTTACGAATCGGGCTGCGAACCTTAAGGTCAGCGGTTCGAAACTACCAGCCGCTCCGCGGGAGAAAGATGAGGCTTTCTACTCCCGTAAAGATTTACACCCTCGGAAACCCTGTACAGGGTCGCTATGGGTCGGACCCGACTCGATGGCACTTAACAACAACAACAATGATGCATCAATGTTTTCCAGACTAATTGATACTGAACTAAATCCACTTCAACAGCGATTGCAAATCAAGTGTCCTCATTTAAAACTACTTTTAAGTCTGAAATTGTGTTTCAGATACTCGAGTGCACTGCATCTCAATTCCTCTTATAACGTCCTAATCCCCAAAGCAAGAGGACTAAGTTCTTCATAGATTATGCACCATAACTAATAATGGGAGTCCTGGTGTGGTGCTGTGGGATAAAGCAAGCAAGGGCAGTTTGAACCACAAGGGACAAGGTTGGTTTCGAACCAGCCGCTCCTTGGAAACCCTACACAGGGTCACTATGAGTTGAAACTGACTAGAAGACACGTAACAACAACAATATAACTAATAAAGGAAACAGAGTACATTGTATGAGGCACAGTAATTAAATACACACCACACCAAACGGAAAACTAAAGTTAAGTCCAATTCCTATTACTCAGCCTCTAGGTGGATATCTTTCTTCCCAGTTTTAAGGAGAGGAAAAAAAAAAAAAACACCACACCCCCACACATATATATCGGACGTTTTGACCAGTTTCCTTTTGCTTTGTTTTGTTACGGGCTGTTTTGCCTCGTGATGAAAAACCTGATTTTAATATAAAACTAAGAATGCCGAGCCTCTGGTCCCAGGGAGTCTACCTGCTGGCTGTGTTAAAACTCTCTCCTGGAATTATTTTGTTAGCTGGACATTAACGTGTGCCAGCAAGGCAGTGACAAAGGACAGACACCCGAGGGATACGGAGAGGAGCACCATTCACAGGACAGAATTCCCAGAGGGAACCCGTAATTCGGCTGGACTGTGTGTCCCTTTACAAAATGCTGTTTTTATATCACAGTCCAGAGCCAAATGGGGCTGGGACACATGGGGAACGTGAGGTTGCTGAAATACACTTTTCTAACTCGTTTCCGAAGAAGTCTTCCGAAAGCTATTTCAGAATGCCTCTGGAGTGAACAATTCCAAATTGATTTCCAATATTCTGTTTAAGTCTTGACTTCTCAGCTACTCTCAGGACTAACGGTTTCTAATTATCTGGTTCGAAGAATAAGTGAATTCACAGGTCCTACTGACCTATTAAGTGGCACTTGGACCCAAATTACACTAAAAATCGGAACGGGAGTGCGTGCATTGGTATGGCTACGAACAATCAACAATCATTCGTCTTCCTTTTCCCTGGTTTCACTGAAAAACACAATAAATGAACCACTGAGCAAAGAAACTTGGAAAATTGCAGGGAAAAAGGATGCAGTATTCACCCCATCATCAAAACACCATGGTCAGATGTTTAAGGAATTTGTATACAGGAAGTTCTTGTTTTATAGGGACACAAACTATAAAACAATTGGCAGCAATTTCAATTCCAAGACACTGTACTCTTAAAACTGCCTAAAATAAGGCAAAGTACATACTTTTTAAATGGCATAAAATCACATTTAAAAAATGAAGAATGAGTTTTAAATGAGGAAAATGTCATTCAATTTTTAAGACTTTTGAAATTTAAGTAGTATTTTTCCTTCCAATTATAAAAAGCTCAAGAGAATGACCCCAGGGAAAAGCCATGTGGAAAACGGTTCTACATTTAGTCTAAAAGACATAAAATATGAGTCAAAGAAAGTAGGGTTTTTCTATCTAGAGGTAATCATTGCAGTTAAATTCTAAGACTTTTGGCCGAATGGCATTTTGACTGATGACTGCCAGCCTGCAATCGCAGGTTCTCCTGAAACATTTAGATCAACTGCAGACACTCTGCTTTGCAGATTGCCTGACTTCAGTGCACCCCAACTTTGCTTACTTGGGCAGACTTAGAAACTTTTGATTCAGAAGCTGATACTGCATCTTTACCCAAAAAGCAAAAACGCCACAAAAGCAAGCATCCAGAGTGACAGGGAGAATGAGGAATGTTGCAAAGATGAGGAGGAAGTCATGTACTGGTCATGTACTGATTTGTAGCAAGAGCACGGACGGTAATGAAACAGCAGGAAGTCAAATGGCAGGAAGGTAACACAACTCACACTGTGCCGGTAGAAGGGGTCAACTTTTGTAGGGTATTTGTCAAACTGTAAAGGGATCAAAGCAAAAAGCTAGTTACTTAAAGAGTCTGCATTTCTGTTCTCTGATTCAGAGGAGGCACCCCCTACACACGTCCCCCCTCTGTGGTTCAGTTGTCATCAGAATCAACCACCTCACTGGACAGGATGCTATTCCATCAGTCTCTCAAAAAACCAACAGCAGCAGAAAAAAAACAAGTAAAAAACCCCCCAGCACGCTTCAGTCCTGGCCACACTCTTAGGCCTCTCTTCAGTAATTACAGGCTGAGCTATACCTAAACAAAGGAGCCCTGGTGGCGCAGTGGGCTAAGCGTTGGGTTGGTAACTGCACAGGTCACAGTGGTTTGAATCCACCAGCTGCTCCATGGGAGATAGATGAGGCTGGCTGCTTCCCGTGAAGATTTACAGTCTCGAGAACCCTAAGGAGATCTCTTCTCTGTTCTATAGGGTTGTTGCGAGTCAAACTGATTCAGTGGCAGCAGCTTGGGTTAGGTGGGTTAGACACTAAGCAACTAAATTGGAGAAAAGAACAGATTATCCACATAAACCAGAGAGACGCAAATATTTGGTCTGGTTTATCCGGAGAATTCCCCTTCATTGCTTTGGCTGAAGAACTGTATAATTAGCTGTTTTCTACAAGTGTAACAAAGCAGTTTGGTCAATCGTAAAATTTTCCTTTTGATCAGAAAAATATTAACTATTGTTTTCTCTAAATAATTTTGTTCCTTCTAATGTTGTAACTAAGGAGCTCTGGTAGCGCACAGTTTACCAATTGGGCTGCCAACCTCAAGGTCAGCAGTTCGAAACTACCAGCTGTTCCACGGGAGAAAGATGAGGCTTTCTGCTCCCGTAATGATTTGCAGCCTCGGAAACCCTGTACAGGATTGCTGTGAGTCGGAACGAACTCCATGGCACATAACAACAACAACATCAATGTTGTAACTGGAGTCCTGGTGTGGCGCTGTGGGCCAATGCACTGGACTATAAAGTTGGTTTGAACCTTAAGGTCAGTAGTTCAAATTCACCAGCTGTTCCTTGGAATCCCTATACAGAGTCATTATGGGTTGGAATCGACTCGACGGCACTTAACAACAACAACAACGCTGAACTGACACTGTAGGATAAGCACTGGACCGTAAGGTTGGTTGCAACCATATGGTCAGAGGTTCAAACCCACCAGCTGCTCCTCAGAAACCCTATACAGGGTCATTGTGAGTCAGAACCTACTCAACGGCACTTAACAACAACAACAATGCTGTAACTATCCTAAATTAGATTTAATCGACTGGTAAATTTTGACTGTGAAATATTTAGCTTATGTCAGAATATAAAACTCTCTTCAACACACGGGGAGGCCCTTAAAAAGACAACTATTCAGAAGTTCATCCAGAAAGAAGACAAAGAATTTGCCATGGGACAATTGTTTGGGGGCGGGGGGTGTGACACAAGGTGTCATCTCTAAGTTGTTTCTAAACACAATTTAAAAGTGTATTTTTAAAAAATTAAGTTGGATAAAATTGGGGGTGGGGATGGGAGAAAGGGCTCAACATCTCTTTAAAACCAGGGGGCATTCCAATCTTTTCTCAGAACACCTACATGAACAGCTATAAAAAAAATCAACTATTTCCCTTAAATATTCTTTTAAAAAAGTAAAACACTGTAATACTGTCAGAGACTGTGCTCTATTTAAAAATAAAATAAAGTGTTCTAATGTGGCGCTGTGGGTTAATGCACTGGGCTGTGAAGTCGGTTTGAACCTGAAGGTCGGTGGTTCAAGCTCGCCAGCCGTTCCTTGAAAACTCTATACAGGGTCGCTATGGGTCAGAACTGACTCAATGCCACTTAACAACAACAACAACAAATGTGGCATTTCAGTCCTGGTGGGTTAACGCTCTGGACTGCCAAGTCAGTTTGAACTGTAAGGTCAGCAGTTCAAGCTCACTAGTGGTTCCTTGGAAACCCCACAAAGGGCTATCGTGAGTTGCAACCAACTCAATGGCAAATTAACAACAACAGTGTAGCATTATTCATTATAGTCTCTAATTACAAAAAAGAAAGGAAAAACAAAATCCCAGCTGCTGCTTGCAGTCTGTGCAAGTCCCCCATAAGGACTGAAACCATGTGGCCACCCGAAATCCCACAGGCCGAAGCTCTGTCCCATTAGGGACCTCTTGCTGACAGAACCCCCCCCTCCCAGATTAGGGAACTGAATTAGGAAATGCAAGAAACACAACACCCCCACCAAAGTCAGTCTAAGACAACCGTCTGACAGTAGGCGTTACCCCAAGTGTTCTGAATGATCTTCTTCCCCACTTCCATCTCTCTTCCCGACCCCTAGCACTTAGTGCAGAGCACGATGCACTTCTACATAAAGCTGCAATTCCCCAACGTGCTCAAGAAAAGAAAATGAGTCCTCAGGAAGTTAAGTACTAATGCTGGATACGACAGGTTAGAGGACATCTGGAATATAATCCACCCATGGAAGGAGATCAACCGTCCAGGAAAACTCGCCTACGTCTGTTCTCCCTGTTCACCAGTGAAGATGGTCAAGGACACAGAGTCCCTCCCCTCTAATAGGCTTTCACACTCCCTCCATCTCCTGTGGCCCCCACACCCACCATGCTGCAGGAAACGAGTTATATGCTCTACTTATCCTCACATTTCTGCCTGGGGTACGCACCATGGGAGGTGCTGGCGTTGGCATGATGGCAGTGGGCGGGATGGCGTGAGGGAACGGTGTGAAGGTGTGCTGGTGCGTGTGCTGGTGCGTGTGCTGGTGTTGGTGTTGGTGCTGGTGGAACTCAGTCCGCAGGTAGGGCGGAGGGCCCAGCGAGGCCCCACGGTCAGCACTCTGAGAGGCCAAAAAACGGGTGTTCAGCTCTTGTCGCAAGATGTCTTGCTCTGGAAAAGAAGTAATGGGAGATGAGGCATTCTTTTTCTACAGGTCCTTTAGGGCCCAAGGGCCTGCCTAGGGAAGGGGTTTGGGGGTACACTAGGCCATCAGATCTGAGGGGGGCAGCTAATGAGGCAGATGGTCACAGCCCGATTGTCCAGCTCTCTCTCTAGCCCCTCAGTGTGGAGATGTGACAGAAATCCAAGCCAAGCAGCTAGAGGCCAACTGTTACCTCTGTTCCGGCAGCTGAGAGAGCTGTCCATGGGTTGGGAAACTCCCCGAATTGTGGCTCTGTCTTCTCATCGGCAGAATGGGCCTAATAGCGCTGGCTAACTTATGGGTCAGTTGCGAGGGCCACGGAATTACTAACACTCTGCCTGATGAACACTGACTAGCTGACAACCAGAGTTAGCTGTAACCACGGGCTCTTGTGGCCTTTTGAAGTGTCATCGCTGCAACACCTGGTGTGACTTGTACAGGTTAAGGAAAAAAGTACCAAATTCTTAACAACCAGAATGTCTCTGAAACTCTGGGATCTACAAAGGGGCTTCAAAGAGTCCATGACCAAATGGGGTGAAGACAGTGGGATTTGCCCAAGCCCCCTCTTAAATGTGTTTGCCTCTAACCGCAAGTAGGCCCTGTTCAATTAATATGAACCGAAGAATCCTCGCCCTTTAAGCCAGGCCCAGTGAGTAAGCTTCATGGGAAAAGCTTCAGGCTTTTACCTGGGCAGTGTCCAAGGTGCCCCGGTATACTGGGTAAGCATTTGTGCCGAACCTCAGACCATAACAGATTTGAGGCAAATGACAGAAACAAATATAATAAATAAATTAGAAAACTAAGTATGAGCGAGACTTGAAAAAGTTGGTGGAAAGATTGGAATGAAAAGAGAATGAAGTTTTTCCACAAACTTTTTGGAAGCCCTTCGTATATAAGACAAAGCCACTGGGGTACATCAGGGCTCTTGTCCATCAACAAGGCAAACAAGACGGCCAGTATGGTAAAGCGCAAGTTTTCCTGGGAGTGTGGACAACTTACCTGAATAAGTGCTCCCGGCTGGATGTCCGGGTACTTGCAGACCCCCCGATGTCAGCGGTGGTGGTGGAGGCAGAGCCGTGGGAGGGGCAAACATATTGGGGTGATGGGAGTGCGCGGGGGGCTGGAGGGTGGGGGTGAAGCTGTGCAGGGGGCTGTGGTTGGGCAGAGAGAGGGGGAATGGGGAGGCGGAGGGATGGTGGGAGATGTGAGGAGCGGGTTGAGACTTCGCTGGAGTGCTGCTTCTGCTACTGCTGTTGGAATAAAAACAAGAGAAAGAAAACATAAGCCATTTATAGAGATTTGCTTTTAAAAAAAGAAAAAGAAAAAGAAAATCTTATCTCCAAGCACCAAAGTCATTCAACACTTTCTATTTGCACAAGGAGATATCTCTGCAAAGCGCAATCTTTTAACCGCTGCGTCACCACCTCGCACAATATGAGGGGCCTTCCAACCACTGAGAGAAAAAATGGAAGTTAAAGGTAATAGGATTTTCCCATGAACTTTTGAGTCCCCTCATATTATCCCAACAACAGAAGTTGCTATCCAGAGCTAACGGACGTGGGGGCAGCGGATTCTGCAGAAGACTCGAGTCTTCCCTAGAATTCCCATCCCTGCCCTAGAGCCCCCAGCTCCCCTGACCTTCCACAGGCCACGTTTCCTATAAAGTATAAAATCAAAACTAACCCAGAGGAAAAGTGAAGAATGGTCTCAGTTCACCCTGACGGCCACACTTTCAAAGAGGCAACACCACCCTGGAGCCCAGGGTTTGCGTTTCTGTCACCTTCAGGGTCTAGAGGCCCTGGGTGTGACTTAGGGGCAGAGGGTGGTCTAATCCCAAGGCACCCCTGTACCTTCAAAAACCAGAAAGAGCCAGTCTCTGCCCAGCAGCTGCCTGAGGAAGGTGACAACAGACTGGATCCCCATGGCGTTGTGAGTGGCCATCATTAGAAACCCCCCGTCTCTTTCCCTTTGCGCTGCAGTTCGGTGAGGTCTTTTGGACAAGGCGAGGCATCGCCCTGGGTGGACTCCCCCTTTCTCTCAGTCTAGCTGCTTCTTGGAGAGCATCAACCTCAGGGAAGATATCCCCAAACCCTTCCCCTCTCGGGCGATGTCATTTTTGATTTTTGTCAAACCTTCCTCCAGCTCTGGGAGGGTAGTAGCCTCCTTTCTAAGACAACACTTGGTGACCCCCAATTTGGGCTTTGGATTCCTGCTCCCTGGTGGGAGTTCCCCCACACAGTGTCCTCAAGTCCCAGCTCCAGCTCCTCAGGCCTTCTTCTTCCTACCTCCCTCCCTCAGGAGGCCTTTGAGTCAGTTCTGACTTGTAGAGACCCTTGTATAAGGTTTCCAAAGAGGAGCTGGTGATCTTGAACCACTGACCTTGTGATTCAAACTGACTTTGCAGCCCCGTGCATGAATCCACAGCGCCACACCAGGACTCCAGGAGGTCCTAAAGATCTTTTATTCTTCTTGACCACGTTTTCCCCTAAGAGGCCCATGTCCAGTTCAACCCAACTGTGCCTCAGAGACCAAGTGGGACAGTGTCCACAGGATTCCCATCTGCACTGTGCACACGTGGCTCACCTTAAACTGTTGAGGCTTAAGCTACTGCTGTTGTATGCGGACAGCGGTTGAGAGAGGGTCTGAGATGAGTGATGGGCCTGCGCAGGAGGCGGGTTCTGGTGGAGAAGCTGGCTGGGAGTCTGGAGCCGGGCCGGACGCTGAGCCTGAGGCTGGGGAGCGGGCTGCAGCTGTACCTCTGGGGGAGCTGGTGGTGGCTGTGAGCTCGGAGGTGGGGGCTGAGCGGGAGCCTCAGGGCGCTGCACCAGGTCTAGGCGCGGAGATGGAAGCCGGGGCTGAGGCTCCGCTGGCGGTGCGGGCAGTGGCTGCGGGAGCTGCGGGCAGGGGTCTTTCAGCACCACAGTCTCAAAGATGGGCTCTTTGCCACAGTCCTGGCTCTTCTCCTGACTTCGCTCTAGACCCGATATCTTGGGGACAATCGGCCCTGTATCTTGGCTGTCATGTTCAGGGAGCGTGCCAACGCCTAGCTCCGGATCTGCATGGGGGAGAACGGAAAGAAATGTACAAGGGATGAAGGTTTGCGAGGAGCAGGAGGTCATGTGGACGACACGTGATCCATGCCATCCTTACACCGCAGGCGCACACACACTGGTGAATGGGGACAGTGGTAGCCAGGGGCACGAGGCGGGGTGGCGCTGGACCCCAAGCCACGAATGCTCTGGGGGAGAAAAGCCAACACCCAGTGGAGGCTGCCAACTGGAAAAGCAGCCCCCTCTGTGCCAGTCTGCATGGGAAGGTTTTCTTCATCTAGAGGGTCTTCTATGGAACAGAATTAAAACCCAAAAGCCGACACACTGATTTTCCCCTTTTAAAACAAATACACAGTTCCAGACTACATGAATGGAAGTGTTTTCAGTAGGAAACAAAACCAGTGTTATTTAGCAACAGATAAATGCTTCTTGGCTTGCACCCCCCCAGCCACCTCAGTGTCGATGGCTAAGACACACCTGACATTTACAGAAGTATGTTTTTATTGGGCATGTGAGGAACGTCCAGGCCAACATCAGCCTACTCCAATCACACCCAGTGATCCCAGCAATCCCAACAGGAAAAATGCCAACAAGAATGCCCACCGCATTTACCATCAACCATTTGGGCTACAGGTTTTAAGGGATTTTCCGGGGCCATGTTTTGCGTTACAAGGTACGGTCTTTGCTCTGTCTTTGTAAAAAACATGTCTTTAAACCACTCTGCCTTTTCAGCGTCCTTGCCTACCAATGCGTTTCATTGTCCGTCTTTCGGGTTGGACAGGTCTAGCTGGAAACAGAATAGTTCAGCGGATGAAAGAGCAGAGAACTACCAAGGACTTGGCTCACACCTGGATGAGTAAAGTCCTTACTTAACCCTCCGGGGGGGGGGGGGGGGGGGGGTGGGGGAGAGGGGAGAGGAGGTCTAATGCTCCCTGACTCTCCTCACATGTGTCCACTACCTTGCCCAAACATTCCACTAAGTTACAGAGTAGGAGATCACACCTACTGTGTGCCTCTAGAGATTGCTGATGAAAACCCACTCGTGACAAAGTGAGTTCTCTGTCCACTACGCCCTCCCTCAGTCACTGTCTTCTCTTCTAGATTTCCTCAAGGATCTGAGCACTGCATCTCTGATACTTCCTTACGCTCCTGAGGGGTAAACAAGATGCTGAAGACAGTGCCATGCCTAGGGCTCACTGCTGTTTTAGCTCCTTTTGAGGTAAATGGCCAACACACATGCTCTGTTACTGAGAAGTTGGTGGTTTGAGTCCTTATAAAGGCTCTTCAGTAAAGATGCCTTGCACTCTACTAACCTCCCCACCCAAACCAAAGCAAACATACCAGTCTTTGAAAACGCTAAGGATCATAGGTCTACCCTAACACACACTGGGTCACAATGAGTTGGAATCGACATAATGGCAACTTGGACTTTTTTTTTTTTCAAATCTTGCCTGACCTCTCAGAGAACCCACCACCAGAGGGGTTGTTCGACAGTCAAGCCAAGTCCTGCTGGGACCTCAGTTTTGGGGTGTTGGCAACCCCTTTGTCCCTGCCTGCCTCCTGGGGAAAGTAGCAATGCTGAACCAGGCAAGAGAACATAAGGAAGTTGAGAACAGGAGAGAGTTATACGGAGGAGGTGGTCAGGAGGGTGGTCCTTCAGGCGTGAGGCACTGGCACCAGCTGCTGACTTTCCCATGCTGATGGCTCAAGGGGCTGGAAGAACAACATTGCTGTGGGTAACTTGTGAAGTCACTCAGAGTGACCCCAGGTGACAGCCAAAAACTATCCCATAGTGTTGCTTAAACTGTGATTGTTCGGGGGTCAGACGGCCAGATTTTTCTTCCAACTGCTTTTTACTTAGATTCTCAGTGAGATGCCACAGCTGGGGCTCCTCGCTCTGGGATATGAACCAGTAGATCACCATCAGCCCGAGAGACTGAGAGCTTGCGGGTAAGATGCTGGACAGTTGAGACCAAGTCTGGAAAGATAAGAAGTCAACAAAACCCTACAGCCTTGAAAGAAATACCAGATTGTTGTTGTTGTTGTTATAGGCTGTGGAGTCGGTTCCGACTCACTGCGACCCTGGACAGGGTTCCCGAGGCTGTAAATCTTTACAGGAGCAGAAAGTCTCATCTTTCTCCTGCAGAATGGCTGGTAGTTTTGAACTGCTAGCCATGAGATTAGCAGCCCGATTTGTAACTACCACGCTACCAGAGTTCTCTAGAAATACCAGGGGAGAGGGTTAAAAAAAAAAAAAAAATCATGGAAAATTGCAATGAAAATATAATGGGCTATTTCCACAAACTTTTTGAATATAGAAAATAGATGCTCCAGTGGGAATTTCACGGAGATTTACTGCTTATCTTTGAAGGTGAAAACCGCCACAACTAGCCCCTGGGATATCTGTCTTCCTCGCAAGTAAAATTCCATACAAGTCTCCAAAAGAAAACATCAAACACAAATGTGGCATTCAGTATAAAGGAATGACCCCACAAGATAAGCAATGGACTGCTAACCTCAAGATGGTGGTTCAAACCTATTGGTTTTTTCTCAGAAACCCTATAGAGGGTCGAAATGAGTCAGAACTGACTTGATGGTTCATATATAATAACAATTTTTGCATGCATCTGGGGGCAAAAAGTAACTTTGATGCAGTGCTGTAGGAAAAGCTGGACAGCAAATCACAAGGTTGGCTGTTCAAAACCACCAGCTGCTCCTCGGAAACACTATACAGGGTTGCTGTGAGTCAGAACCAACTTGACGGCACTTAAGTTTGTGCTGCAAAGATTTTTTCCTTTTTTTTTTTTTTTTTACAACAACAGGAGAGATTACAAATTTCTCTGAAATGAAGCCATCTTTCATCTATTTAGGTCTGACCCTTCTCTTCCTATCTCAACTGAATCAAGTGTGGGGGGATTAAAACTGTATGTGGTACTCTGGCTGGCTGTATTCATTTCTGTTGATGCACACTTTCTCTGTATTCACATTTGTTCATCATTTTCCATCCTAAGATTGAATGCCCTTCCCAAGCAATCCATTCCTTTTAATGTTTTCTTTTGGGCCAACAGTGTACAATATACAGCAATCCTTTTACCATGCACAAAAGGAAAAACCAATCCCGGTTTATAGATACAGCACATTTATGGCTGACATGAACTTGTTCAATCTCAAGCCTGGAATGGTTATACTGCATGAGTGGAGAGAATTCAGCCCTATGTCTTTTCACGTCTCAACTGTGCTAGGCCAAAATATCAGAGAAGGTTCTGGTGAAGCCACACTAGGCTTGCCGACAGCATTCTCATGCATACTTCTATCCAGAGCTCTCCGAAGCATCTTTTTAGGCAGATTTTTTATTATGGCAAAAGCTGACAATTCAGTTTGAATCACAAGGTCTTTGGTTCAAACTCACTAGCCGCTCATTGGAAACCCTTTACAGGGTTGCTACGAGTCAGAATTGACACGAGGGCATTTAATAACACAACCTATACAGGTGCAGATCATCAGGTCTTTTCCCCCTGTATTGGGTGGGGTGGGGTTTCAACGGCCAACCTCTCACTTTGGGCCATGGGACACTACCAACCAAACTTCACCAATTGTTTAATAAGAGTGGTGCCAAGACTGACAATCGTCAGGAGATAAAGAAGACTGAACCATCTTCTAAGACTCCTGAAAGTTTGTACGGAGCCGTCTGTGATTAATGACAGAGAATCTAGAAGCACAGAATTCTGAAATAAGGCCAGGATCTGGAAGACCATGTAGGATAGCACTTCTCAAATTTTCAGGTGAATACAAATCACCAGAAGATATCACTGAAATGCACATTCCAGTTCTATAGCTCAGGGTTGGGGTTTTAAGAACCTCTTAGGAAATAGACCAAGAAGCAGTTGTTCGAACAGAACATGAGAACACTGAATGGTTTAAAATTAAGAAAGGTGTGCGACAAGGTTATATTCTTTCACCCTACTTATTCACCCTGTATACTGAACAAATCATCCGAGAAGCTGGGTTCCATGAAGAAAAAGCGGCATCAGGATTAGAGGAAGACTCATTAACAACCTGCAATATGCAGATGATACAACCTTGCTTGCTGGAAGAGAAGAGGACTTAAAATATTTACTGATGAAGATCAAAGAGCACAGCCTTCAGTAATGGATTACATTTCAACGTAAAGAAAACAAAAATCCTCACCAATGGACCAATAAACAACATTCTTATCAATGGAGAAAAGATTGAAGGTGTCAAGGACTTCATTCTTCTTGGATCAACTATCAACACTCACGGAAGCAGCAGTGAAGAAAGCAAATGACGTATTGCATTAAGCAAATCTGCTGCACAAGAACTTTTTAAAGTGTTGAAGAATAAAGATGTCAGTTTAAGGAGTAAGGTATGCCTGACCCAAGCCATGGTATTTTCAATAACCTCATATGCATGTGAAAGCTGGACAGTGAATAAGGAAGACCATAGAAGAATTGATGCTTTTGAATTATGGTGTTGGAGAATATAGAAAGTGCCATGGACTGCCAAAAGAACCAACAGATCTGTGTTGGAAGAAGTGCAGCCAGAGTGCTCCTTGGAGGCCAAGACGGCCAAACTTGGTCTCTCATACTTCGGATATATTGTCAGGAGGGTCCAGTCGCTGGAGAAGGATATCATGTTTGGTAAGGTGGAGGGTCAGAGAAAAAGAGGAAGACCCCCCCAGTGAGATGGACTGGCTAAGTGGCAGCATCGATGATCAAGTGTGGCAACAGTAGTGAGGTTGGCCCAGGATCGGGCAGTGTTTCGTTCTGCTGTGCATAAGGTCATTATTAGTTGGTACCAACTCGATGACACTTAACAACAACAACAGGAAATGCTGACGTTAACAAGGGTCTTACCCAACCCATTCCAACTTGAGAGGGAAGAGGGCACACAGAAATGACAGAATTTGGTTGCTGGAGCACATTTCTGGCTATTTAATAAATCAGACAACTTGAGTTTCAATTGTTAAGACCACCACTGTCCTGTA